CAGACACACCACACCACACCACAACACAACACACCACAACACACACAACACACACCACACACACCACACACACACACACACCACACACACACCACACACACACCAAACACACCACACACACCACACCCACACTACACCCACCCCACACCCACCCCACACCCACCCCACAACCACCCACACCCACACCACAACCCACACCCCACACCCACACCCCACCCCACACCCACCCCACACCCACACCACCCCACACCCCACCACCCCACACCCCACACCCCACACCCACCCCACACCACCCCACACCCACCCCCCACACCACACCCACAACCACCCCACACCCACCCCACACCCCACACCACCCACACCACCCCACACCACAACACACGCACGCGAAGCACACACAACACAAACGTCGCTCAAGAGACTGAGAGACTCCATCTAAAACAGAGAACACATTCAACGATCTGTCCACCCGATTCGACATGCAGCATGAGAAACCCTTGTTGTACAAAAAAAGGACAGGCAAACTTGCAAGTTTGACTGGATACAAGCCCATCTCACCAAGAAATCGCCCCCGGACTCCAACACATACACGATCCAAACCAACTCTTCGCCGCAGCCAATCACACAACAAGCCCAACAAATCACACAAACCTTTTGACGTTTCCCACACAGACACAGATCAAGAAAATTGGGCGTGAGAAGACTGAAAAGCCGCGAAGAATTTGCTTCCGACCCATATGCATTTCATATAATATACTAAAGTACATGGAATTCAGGTAGCCTAGGATACCTTTGGCATGCAACGAGGGTGTTTCTTGAAATGATGCGTATGTCGAATTGTTGATTGCAGTTCTCTGTGCAAACATGCGGTGATTCCATCGAGCGACCTTCTGCTGCCAATTCATAATTGTCCACCAGGGTGATGCTGGAGGACTGGCGAACATTGAGTTGGACCATGGAGGCCACATCGGTGGAGACACCGTTGGACGCACCCTTGAAACCACACTTCTCTGCTGCGCAGGCCTCCTTGTAATTACGTGGAGACAAGAAATCACAAGGGCCCATGACATGGCAAAACCCAAACCTATGAAAGAATAAGACAAAAGATTGGTGTCGTGTCTTTTGAATCCTCAAAACACAAAAAGAACCGCTTCGTGTTTTCAGGACTCTCACTTGTCAGCGAATTTGCATTGTCAATGGTGGGGTTCCATTGTGGCCGCCTATGCAAAAAACATTCATCAACTTCATCAACCATTTTCAGCCATGGACCTAGCAATTCTACGAGAGTCAAACATTCATATTCCTCAGTAGTACCCACTTTATCCACACCGAGCGTTTTTTCGGATCATCAAGGTCCTGGGACACCACGAGCGACCACAGATACGGAAAGAAAAGAATCGCAAAGGCCGCCATGAAACGCGACCAGTCAAGGGGAGTTCGAAAGAGCGGTTGCCTTGAAGAGATTATAATGGCTTCCGGGTGGCCACGTCATAACGGAGTGGCACAGCTCCAAAGTCACATGTTCTAAAGTGTTTTAATGCTAAGTAAGATCGCATTACCGAATCAACGAACATGAACGATATCCCAGGCATCGAAAAGGAACAGCAACTTGCATTCCATCTTAGGCATCCCGACAGTGGTCTCGGTGAGCTCCTGTGGAACGAGCGAGGTTGTGCCAAGCACAAACCGGCATTAGGACCTTTCCGAACCTTTCATCAACATGGATTCAAAGACAACTCCCGGTCGAAGTTGATATGCTGTTGAAAATCCTTGCCATCGATACATGGAAGATATGGTGGCAAAGGTACAAATCAGATTGCCTCGGAAGTGGCGCATTGATGCATCTCTCTATTGTTCAGTGGCTGTTTGTTGAATGGTTTTCGTGGGGGTTATGATATTCTACGACCTGGATCAGACATCATGCCATTTTACCAACTTTCTCATGACTTTCTGACTCAGATACACTTTCCACTGTTGGATTAGCGCCACTCACCGAGCTCAAATTCCACGACCATATTTCAGAAAAAAACAGCATGCAGGGCCATGGACCTTGGCTCGTCAAGGCGCAGAGCTGTTGCAGCGCCGCAGGGAGCTTCCTGTCAGGTGGCGGCACAGGTCAAAGTCCTGGTATTTGAGCATCAAAATAGCTGCTAAAATCATATTCATCTCCCCAAAGCAGGGCATTGTACTTATTAGAGCTTTCTGATCTATTCCGTTTTTTGGTTTATGGGGTGCCCAACTAAGTAATAAATCACCACCAAAATGATGGGGTTGCGTTTAGTTTTCTTTTCTATCTTCTCGGGGCCCCTTTTTATGTTGATCTACCTCAGTTGGGATTTTTTGGACCCGACAAAATTCCAGCTGGGGCCGGCCAATCTTCATCATTTTTCAGGCAGAACATGTCGAGCCAGTCAATCGATAATCGACTAGAATCATTAAGGAGCATCGAAGCCAAGGGGTCCAAGGATCACTTAGGACGACTTTTTGGATCACTTAGGCCGACAATCTTGGTTGTGGAAAAAAAACTTAGGGTTTATAGTTAGGGGGAACTGGGGACTGGGGACAATGGGGACGACTAGCGGTACAGGACACGAACAAAAACATATCGGAGTCTATTGACATCCACTTGTGCAAGTCTGTCGAAATCATGTTCGGATATATCGATATATATATATATCTGTCTATTGCAAATATAATCATGTACCTGTGACGTAAGCCAGCCAAAACGTAGGCACACGATTAATCCCTGCCGTGGGCAGGGCACTATGCGGCGGCTGCCCCGCGCTGGCTGGCTGCGCTGTGGCTGTGGTGGCTACGCTTCGGCTTTGGTGGCGCTGTGGGCGACGTCGAAGTCTACAAAATCATCATCATAAGCGAGGTACTGACTGGCGTCCTCTGGCCCCCGATTGTGGTACTTCTAATGGGAAAATGATGATGATTAACCATTGGATTTCGGGCTTTCATATTGGACTTACCCACAAAAGGCTTGAATGGGATGCAGGCTTGGCATTCTGCAAGTAGCTTCTGGTCGCAACCTGTGTTTCCCCAACATGAGCATTGCCCAGTTCACCTTCTGTGATCCCGTAAAACCTACTAATTTCTGGCAAGGGTTTCCCATCTTACAATCATCCCCAACAAAAATCCCCATGAAACCACAGTAATCAACCATCAACCATGGGTCAACGCAGCTCTGCTCGGCCTTTGGTTACGCAGTGGGCATTCAGCGACTCCACATAGGTCTCTGCTGCAGGGGCTGCAGCCACAGGAGCTGTGGATGCGGAGGAGGCTTCGGCTGGCAGGTCGCCCAACCTCGAGGAGCAGCTTGTTGAGACATGGCTGGTGTGTGCACGGAATGTTGTCAAAGGCATAATTGGTTTTCAAGATATCCTGAACTGTGTGCAAGCAGTGAATCTCCAATCTTTCTTCTTTTTTGGTCCACGCTTTTCCGGGCGATTTCTTGAATCAACTTGCTTTCAAACAATGTTGTACGGTTGCCAGAAATTTTGGTTCTGGTTCCTGCATTCAATCGCCATGAAAAACATGAAAGTCGACTGGGATCATAGTCTCATGTAGGATAAAAATTATAAAATACACACAACATCATGCTGACGTACTAGACGTATATAATGTATGTATAGTTACACACGTTACAATACATTGCATTACATCACATCACATTGCGTTCCGTTACATCACGTCACTTTACGTTACGTTCTGTTCCATTTCATTCCAGTCCATTTCATTTCATTACACGTTACAAGTATGGGTGTTTCCAAAAGACAAACAATTACGGTATGGTTCATAATTTCCAGGTTTCCAGCCATTTTCTACCTCCTCAGGGGTTGCTATATGATCTCTAAAAAAAATATATACATATTATATATATACATACACATATATACACATACATATACGTGAAGCATCATGACATAATGAAACGACATATATGTCTCAAGGTCGTTGACATAAGAACTACTGAGACCGGCACTGGCTGTTGATGCAACCTGCCAACTCCTTAGAGGTCGACGACTTCGCGGCGCGACGATCGGAAAGGGATGGGCTTTATGGGAATGAAACCAACATGAACCATAAACCAATGGGAATATAATGGACTTATAATGGACATATGATGGAGTGGTTTATGACATGATATGGGAATATCATGGATATGGCTCAGCTATGAAAAACCATAGAATTAATAGTATGATCTGTTAGGGATACAACGGGGATATTATGGATATGACTCTGATGTATGACCGTATTATACCGTATGAATCCGTATGACCATATGTCATATGATTTGGATTCGTCCAGAAATTGGGATGGGCCATAAATCCCCCCGTTTGTCATGGCCACTGAATGGGAATTCCCCCGGATTGTCAGTGAATTTGTTGGACATCCAATGTGGTTGGTGTAAGATTATCCTCGGGACTCTTGGTGACCTGGGGGATATGGAATGATATGGATCCATTTCTGAAAGCAGAATATATCAGAATCACTAGAATTACCAAACCTGACATTAGCCCATCATCTCTGGCAATGATTTTGGGGGTACCCTCTGGTTATTTAACAATTTAATAGACGATAAAAAATATGATTTATATACCTCTCAAAAGTGATGATTTTTCCGTTCGTTGCGCTAAATTACCAGAGGGTACAGTCATCATTTCCTCTGTTTCCCTCTGCTCATTACCAAAGGGATCATCACCATCTGAGGCCATCCCAGGGACCTCCGTTCGTTGTCGAGCAGCCGTCACCGTGGGATCACCCTGGAGTTGGGACGATGAACTCCACACCTGCCGTGTACGTGGAAAGCTTGGAAAGGGGATATAGGGTTGCAACGCCTTTGTCAAAAGAACATGATAAAGAGACCCAATGGATGGTAGGATGCTTATATATATACTGTATATATATATATATCCCTTTTGTTGCTTCAGTACATACAGTACCCAGCAGTTATCTATGTTTTGTTGCGGTTTCTGGCCCAGATCTTGCAGTCTTCAGGTTTTTGCTATGGTCTTGGCCGCCAATCTGTGGCCCCAAAGCCCATCAAAGGAGTCAGGGCGTGGTCGGCTCTTCCTCGGCGGAATCAATGACCTGCCCAAGGCAGGAGCCACGGCCATGGCCACATCAACTCTAAGTGATGAATCATGACAAATCTGCTGTGATGGTAGTATCTCAGGCAAACCTCTATATAGAGTGATATATCCCGTATGACTATGAGTATCATGCTGAACAAACAACCACTTTTGTTTTCTTTGCCACTGATAAGCTTCTTTAAACTCTTTAAATCATTGCTTGAAATCAATGACTGCTGGCACAACCAAGAAGTACTGCACAAGACACATGAACCAGTCGGGACTTTCTCAGTTGGGGTGAAAACTCCTAGATGCAGAAAGCACTCGTCATGATCAATCATGATGGTGGTGGTGGTGATGATGATGTTGATATATTGCTGCATGATGGAAGGTGGCGGCAGTGATGACCTCGCGTGCAAGGCCTCGCAAGCTCGCTCGGACTGCCTGCAAAGACATTCCAGGAATTGCAAGCTTCAGGAAGAAACGGCCCATGAAATTCACTGAAATCGGAGTACAACCAAATAATGCATTTTACTTTTTTCAAGGGGTCTAAATCTCTATCACCACCAATAATGGGTTAAAATAGAGTATAACATTCCCCCAAATGGGATGACTGAGTTACTTGGTGCACTCGTGGACCACCTTGTCTCGTCTTATGTGTTCCCTCAAAACTAAGTGACCGTTGCTTCCCCATTTTAGTTGAAATCATTAAGCCCTCATTCTTGCAAGCTAAACTCATCTAAATCCCTAATTTACACATGGGAACCAACCAGTTATCATGTCCAGTCTCTATTTTTTTTTTGCAAGTTCATCTTAGAGATTCTCATGTCACTGTTTCGTTCAGGCTCACTTTGGCACCCCCTGTCGCCACCTCGAGGTGTTCCTCGGGCGACAGCCCAGCGCCGACAAACTCTCGCCGCCACTGGCTTCGCCGCGCGCGGCGCGGGCTTCAGCGGCCTGTGGACATGAGCCCGGATAAAGGTGAGATTTCCAGGTGATTTTACCAACAAAAAGGGAGGATTTCATGGGACTTATGGCTGATTTTCATGATAGTTCAGTTGACTTAAAACTGGGTATACGGTTGGGTTGGTGAGGGATAAAACTATTTAGTATACTATAATATACGTACTTTAGTTAGTGGGTTGATATACCAGCAAACAAAACTGGGGGGCCTCACCTGGTAAGATAGAACTGGGGTTATGGTGGATTCTGGTAGATATACTTGCAGTTAGATGGGGTATCTTAGCCCATTAATCTGACTGGGGATATCCCAGACAGGGTGAACTGACATGTGCCCCACTTACCCTCTGGTAATTTAACATAGCTATTGAAAATGGCTATTTATAGTTGATATACCCATTCAAAAAAAAAGATTTTCCATAGTTATGTTAGTTTACCAGAGGGTACCATGCCTGGGATGCACCCAAGACACATTTTGCTCACCATCTTTTAGCCCAACAGGAGTGACCAGGCTGTCCCTCTTGGGGGATGATCATCTCCATCGGCAACCAGGGGCACCCTGCCTCTTTCTTCGCTGCTTCGAAGTCTTTCAAGAAGTTTGGAAGAGGATAAGCCTCCTGGGTAGATCAATATGACAATATGAAATATGTATCCGCCGAGAACAAATCAATTTGTCAGGAACAGCGCCAATCCAAGAGCTGGAAAAAAATCATTTCGTATCATTCATGTGCCACAAGATCTATACACGGAACTTTGGAAACACAAACACAACTGTGCATCATCAAATTCAGAATCCAGGTAAGCTTTCATCTATGGCATTTGTGTTACGGTGACAATGCATTGATGGTCAAAGTTTATCTCCAACTCAAGAATGGCGGGTGACCAAATATACGTGGGCCGGTGCCTAGGTACCCATCACAAATGCAACTAGTTGATGAGGTTCACAAGTTCGAGCTGCAGATTCGGTCCTGTCTGAAAGGGTAGCGCTATATCCACGGGTTAATTAAACATGATTTTCCCTATCATTCAATGACGATCATTTGAATGAGCATTTTCAATTCTCAGACACATCCAGAATCATATTGATGCTTCTATATCCCACTATACCCCCAACACATCCACATAAAACGGTTGGTTTAATCAGTTTATTTCAGCTTCATTTGAGGCCAGGCATCTTCAAATACTCCCAGCGGACAGGCACTGCACCCAACAAAGTGGAGCTGGAGAGAATGCCTGAGTTGCACGACTTGAAGAATTTGAAATGGGATCAGTTGGCCGTTGAAAGCAGCAAATTGCCAAACAGATCCTGTTTGAACTTGCAATCAAAAGTGCAATGATTCCATCAAAATCCATCAAAAGCCATCAAAATCCATCCAAATCCATCCAAATCCATCTGACATCTTCATGATTTTTGATGAGGACAGGTGCTGTGAACCACGCCAGTCCCTGTGAGTTGGTCACCGCGCCCACGCCTTGGCGAAGCAATTTTCCAGATTGGAGCATGATGAAATCAGTGCGAAACCGATGGGAATTCAATGGATATATGTTGATAATTATAAGAGATAATTTGTTGGAATATTCGGAATATCATGGACACTATGGATGAATTGCTGGATTAACATGCATTAATCAATCAGAAACTACCTTAGATCAACGCAAAAAAAAGGCTTGTGGACCCGTGGATGCTTAGTTTACCAGTCTGCGTCCGTGAGGCCATCCCGAATTGATATGATATGGCTTAAACATTTAAACACGGTTCGATTCAACATGGGCACCCACAAGGGGTTTGCAAACATCATTGTAAACATCAATGGCGCATCTTCTGATCATTTTTTCCGGCATCCCATCGACTTAGCTCGTCCCAGAGTGTTGGCACAGCCATGCCTCAGCCCATGCGCCCCACTGCACTGATCGTGCATTGCGCCACAAGGCTCCGGGTCCTGACATGGCAGTGTCCCAGATGGCGATTGACCGACATCTTTTCCTGGCTTTGATGCCAACAATGGTTATATATATATATATCTATATAAATGATGTAAACAAGTGTAGACATTTATTTTTTTTATGTGCCAAAAACAAACGGTTCTGTTTATAGACATTTTAGATATGAACCAAAGGGAGCAGCCAAGATTGACCCACACCTCTAGGTGTATATATAGTAGCCGTTAGCCACTGGGGTCATGACACCGTATCAGGGATGGCCATGATGGAAATCAGCTGGTTCTTGTCAATATTCAGTAAGAGTTCATCCATACCTTTATGGAACTACAATGAACTACATAGATTGCAAATGCATCATAACGTTTCATAAACACATATCCAACATCTGTGGATGTCTCTGCTGTGTATTTCATCAGAATTCATCATCTCTGCCAATGAAGAAGCCGCAGCCGCCTGGTGAGCCGAAGAGGGCTGAAGTTCTACATGAGTTTTGCCGGCGTTGAAACTCACGTGGCAGTCGGGATGTCGAGATACTATTCATGGTCTGATGGAAAGAGGCATGAAGAATGCCACTGCCCGGGGCAAACTCGCCCTGACGCTGCCAATTGTTGGTGCTGATTTGAAAGATCAGCAAAGGCCTCGACACCGAGCCATCTCTCCCATAGGTTGGCGAACAGGCAGATTTAAGGTTATAATATGTAATGCTCAATGAGGTAATGTAAACTGTTGAAATACCCAATCAACAGGGTATGATTAATGGCTCAAAATACGCAAGCAAGTGAAGGCGGAGAGGTCTCATAGGTTTGGATTGTAAATGCAATTCTGGCAGCAGATTTCCTTAATTTCCTTTATCTTCATTGCCCCAAGCAAACTGTTATTTCCATTTATTTCGAAGTCACTTCCCATCGAACCAATTCGAGTCTGCTTCGCGTCCCAGAACCGAAAGGCGGAAATTCTGCGGGACAAAGTCGCAAGATGGCGGCTCTGAAGTCAACTTTCAGAAAGAGTCCTAGTGAAACACAAGGTCAACACTCGAACTCATCCTTTTTTCATACGAAGAAAATATCCTTTCTCATCTGTGGCAGAATCTACCCCTGCGAATGTGGCTCGAAGATCCACAACACTTTACAGTTGTGTCATCGGCTTTACAATCTCGAAGAAAGGTAATGCCACTGGGCATTTTGATGCATGCCATCACCATTTCTTTGACGTCCTCTTCGCTTGGAAAATAGTGAGAGCATGAAATTTGAGTTATAACAACTTGGTGCTTATGGTGGTTAATTCCCCTGTAACTTTGGCGTTTTGTGGGTACATATGGTAAACGGTAAGCCCATCCAATCCTCAAGGTTTTCAGCATCTAACCCAATATAGGGATTATATGAGCATTGTACCCAACTATTCCTAACCATGAAAGTATTCTGCGCAACTATTCCCAACCATGTGGTCCTTCCAAAACCTGAAAAAACTGGGCATGCCAAAATGTCCAACGCCTGGCTGTACAAATGGCTTGTGGCATCTGGAAAGCTTTCCGTGCACGCCAGAAGATCTGGGTACGGGTGAGAACTATTGACCACCAAAAATAAGAGTGTCAGCGACCAAAAAAACCGACCAAAATTTCTGGATCTAGAATCCAAGTCACACCACATGTTTCACAGATGTTTCGACTTCGACAAATCCGAACTGGACTCAACCGTAGCACCGAGGAGCCTCCCGAGGACCAAGCTCTCCGGCTTGGCTGGTTCGCGCGCCAGGGCAAATGGCAGCTTTGGACACTGAAAAATGACATGAAATTTGCAAACAAATGCAATAAATATGGCTATAAACGGTTATAAACCATTACATCTTGTTACTTGTCTACCTTCTTGATGCTTCTTGGCTCTGTCCTTCCTCTTTGCATCATTCCTAGTCATTCGTACCACGAATGCCCTGCCATGTTTGAGGGATTGGTGTCAGACTCGTGCCCAGTCGAGGATTTCATGTGAAAAATCTTCCGGGGCCGAGGCTGACACAGGGATTGGAAGTTCGAAATGCCTCCAACACGAATGCGACATAGTGCCACACTGTGTGCATGCAAGACACAATGGTAATGTGATGCTAATTGCGCTGGCTTAGCGGAGAACGCTTCTCAAGCCATGCGAGTGATCAGAAAGTATGGCTGACGATACTCGGCGGAGCATCCTTTACGGCCTAACTTTCTAACCGTGGTCGTGGGAAGTCTGTGGGCTTTCAATAAATTAGAATGAGTTCTATAGCATGTTGTGATAAATCTTAAGGTAATGAAATAATAATCAAACACATTTAAAACCCCGTCTTGAACCTCCCATGACACTGGTGGAGTCATGCTCTGTACAGCATTCGCACTCCGTATGGGAGACCTTCTGCTCCCCTGCCCACTTCGTTCAGCGGGATTCAAGTGAATTCCAGGAAAACAACTCTGACACAGCACTTCTCACAAAGTTTGAGTGATCCAGCAACAAATATGTGGGTCGTCGCTGTGGGTCTAGATAAAAAGGCATCAAGGTAGAAAAGGATTTTTTCGCTACGTGTCAGAAGTAAGCTTTGATGTGACCCAGGCTGGAAAAGCAGTGCGTGCCGCAAGCAATGGAAAAGAATCATAAATGTATTTTTTGGGGCTCAAACAACCCTGCGCAACTGCGCCGTTGCTTCGGGCCAGGTTTCACTGTGCCAATTTCTGCCAGAACAAGACCCATGGAATCGACATTGACTTGATCATAGTTGATCGCTGCTGTGCTTTCCACATCTTTCCACTGTCCACGGGTTCCTGGCAGAAGGCAAACCTGCTAAGTCAAAAGATTCAGAGCACAACATGTCACACCTTGGCTCAGTTGGCCAAAGTTGGTGCGGTGGACACCTCAGACACGGCTGATGTGTCGTGGAACTTCAAGCAAGGTTGACGTGGAAGTGCCATGGTAACACCCTGAAGACATAACTTTCTTGGACACCAGTGGAAGAGAGATATGGCCTGAAGATCAATGCAAAAACCTCCCGAAATTCTCAACGTCCCAAAACATATGACTAGATGCCAAAAAAAGCAGTCCTTTTTGGTATCTCCAAAATGCAATGGTTTATCTTGTCCCCAAAAAGGATCCCTTCGGCACTTTTATGGCCCCCAGATTGGATCCTCGGCCCTGGACGTTTCCGAGACTTTCCAAACTTCCTTTGCGCTCGTCGCCTTTCTCGAAGCGCTCCTGCTATGCGGGCGTTGTCCATTTTAGTGTGGTAAATTACTTGGTTTGACCACCATTTATAGTGTCAGCCCAAGATGAATAAACCCCTAGGATGCTTGTTCAGGGGGGTTACAACTAAAGTAGCAAATCATCACTGTTTGGAAGTAACATCATTAAATCAACCGCTGTTTGTTGATCCAGGGTTGACCTTATTCATTGGTGATCATTCATAGCTAATTTAATGGGAACACGGGGAAACGCCGATTTTTTAAGCAGAAGAGAGATAGATGGCGGATGGTGTGTCTTCTAACAAGCCTGATCTCACTCCAGTCCTGAAGGCGCAAAAGGAATGGGTGGTCCAAGGCATCAGTTGCCGTAATACCTCGGGGGCATGGCTTTGACGAAAATTCACCGCCTTAAGTCTGGCCTTACAAAACATCCCAAAACTGGTACCGGCTGGTCATACCTTCGCCTTCCCCCCGCTAAGGATCCTGCGAACGTTTCGGTTGGTCTGCAGCATCTTGGACAGAAGGTCTAGGGTGATGCCTTGTGCCCATGTGGATGAGGTGAGGTGCAAACAAACGGACCTTGTGCATTTATTAATTTATTATTGTTTAAACATGCTGAAACTTTTTTGACCGTTTGCAAGGCAGTGTACAGCAAAGGTGCAAAGAGATGGCGAATATATGCATGAACTTCTGCAACGTGTTTGATGCTGCTTCGATCACTTCGCCAAGTCGCTGTTGCCAAATCGCTTCGCGATGGAAAGGCGAAGCTGGACATAGAAAGCATCACACTGCATCGATCCAGGGTCGACAAAAACCTGCCAAACACACCAAACGATCAAAATATATCAAAATGATCAGAAATCTCCAAACAAAGCGACTTCAGGGATTCCAGGTACCCTGTGGAAATGATTGAGGAAAGTCATGAAACGTGGAAGGTTCCCGAAGTCGGGTCTGCTGAGACGTCGACTCCCTGCTCATCCATCGATTCCAACTCGTCGCTATCCATCTGAAAAAATGGTTGACCAGTGGTCAGCTGGTAGAAGATGATGCCCACGAACCACATGTCATCCTAAGATGCACCTACCTTCTTTCACAAGACTTTTCAACAAATGGGCGAATAATGGCGAATATCCAAAGCAATCATGGCCATAGTTTAGATTCCTGCCTGGTGCCAACAGTAACAGTAGGTGTTTGGTTTCGCTCATGTTGTTGGAACAATCTTTTGACATCGTGTCGCAAAGGTCAAAACACTTCAATAACAATCCGAAACAAGCAAACTCCTTTTGAATCACCGTGTCGTCACCAACCCACTGAAGTAGCTCAGGAGCTACTGGTGCTTTTTTGGTGGAGGACTGGGCATTGCCAAAGTCGATCAATTTAAGCTTCGGAAGAGCAGCACTCGATGCCAACCTGCGAGCAGAATGCGTATCAGCGTATCACACCCTACCAGCAACCACAGCACAGGCCGGCTCATCATTCCATGCCACAACTTGGCACAACAACCCAAGATCTTTGTTTTCATCGAGGCACATGATGTTGTCGAACTTGAGGTCGTTGTGAACCAAACCGGAGTCATGGCAGTGCTTCACAGCTGAAAGAAGTTGCCTCACTCACCGGGCGTTGGAACAGTGCGATCTTGCAGCGCTTGCAGCGCTTGCAGCTGGGAAACTTCATCAGCAGAGCACATTCTTCGTCACCAAGACGCCGACCCTGGAAGATTCTGAAAAATGGTTGAATCATGTTGAATCTGTTGAATCTTCACATTTTCATTTTCCAACAGGTGAGCTTTTGTATTTCGACACCCTTAGCGTTGCCACGGCCTTGAGATGCTTCACCAGGAAGTCGCTCAAGGAACCTTCGTCACAGAGCTCCAAAACCAACAGGAGCTCCTGGACGGGTTTCTGTTTTGCTGATTCAAACAGACATCATTTTTTGGTTTCGAAAGGTCACCATAGACATACATCGATTTTCAACAGTCATTTGCAGTTTGCATATCGTTTCATGTGGCTCCTTTTCCGTCTCATAGTGGTTCAACAACTTCGCAACGTTTTCCTCAGGGTTGGTGAAGCTGGATTTCAACCACTCGTGCAACTCAAGTTTTCAATCGACGTAGAATTTCGAAAGCCTTGCCAGAGTCAGATTCATTTCACGACTTTCACTGTCATGTTTAAAAACAAACAAGAGGAAGTGTTGGAAGCTGACACAAGGTTTCATGTTAGATATGTTAGTGAGATGACCATTTTGACATCTTTGGACATATCTTGACTATGTCTTCACTGTGTCCCGCTTGATCATGACCTTTGTGTATCCGCTCCCACCCTCCATCGAAGCATCATGGCCAGTGAGTTGAGATAAATTGGCCAATTCTTCTCTGCTCTTTGTCGTCTTTGGCATATGTTTGACCTGAAACGGAGTGAGGTTTCCCGAGACTTCAGAGTCAAAGATTCAACATGATTCAACCCAAGCTTCAGTCTTAAGCAGTCTTAACCAGTCGCAATTAGTTGATTAGTTGACTAGTTCATACACGTTCATACTAGTTCCTTACCTTCACTGTCGTACTTTCAGGGTCCAAAAGATTCCGCTGGAGAGCGCGTGGCATTCTCAGCTCTCAGCACTGCAGCTGAGCTACAGCCACCTGTCTCCCAGTCTTGCGGTGAAAGGCACGCCGCACGATACCAAACTCACCTCACAGTCTGGAAGCATCCACGACACGGCATAGCATTGTCAAAAACTTCAGGGCTGAAGCTTCAGAGATCTGACTTTCTTTGCAACATTGAAATGCAACCTAGCTTTGTCACACGGAACTTTTTGGATGCACAACACCATCACTCTCAACAAAGATGCCTAAGACTACTTCCAGATTTTGTGACAGGTCAGATTTCTGGACCTCGTCCGAGCTGTTCCAGCTCTTCATACGCCTCGTCGAAAGACTCCTGACATGCAACAGTTGTGTGGCAAAGAGTACTGAGATCTACTGAGTACTCTTTCATGATTGTGAGACCCTCAGGACATTCATTCCCCGGGCGATGAATCAAATCATGCCCTAAAAGACAACAAAATCACATGTTATCACATGTTATCACATGTTATCACATGTTATCACATGTTATCATTCTTTCGTTATTTATTTACCATTTCTTTTTCCATGCAGAAATCTCTATAGCCAGCTGTGGTCAGTGCCTGTGGCGTGATGGCGGTGATGGTATCCGCCGTCTCCACCGTTTCAGCCACCGTCTCGGCCATTGTCTCCGCCACGCTGGCGCAAGACGCGCAAGACTCGAACTCCGTGCTCTCCGAAGCAGGCGACATGACGATGCTTGCCGCGACGCAAAATGCGACTCTTCAGCTTGGCTGAAGCGCTGCGTCACAGGAAGATCTGAGAGTTTTGAGGATGTTTTGAGGATGTTTTGAGGATGTTTTGAGGATGAAATCAAATCTGTTTATCAAAGCATTGTGGAATTGGAAGGTTAAACATGTGGAAACCTGGCATGCAGATTGTCACATGGATTCAATCTGGTTTTACACTTCAAGTCCAAGGCTGCTGCAAACTGGGGCCATCTTTTCAAACTCGATGAGGCAAGTGTTCCTTCTTGACTATCTGAAGCGCTGCCTAGGTCCAGGCGTCAAGGTGACTCAAAGTAACTCAAAGACATTGAGCAACTAAGCTCACCAAAGCATGCCCCGCGGAAGTTCATCGCCACCAATTTTCAGTGCAATGGTTGGCAGAACATGTAGAGTTCCTGGCCACCTCTGCTCTTCGTTTCTTGATTTTCATCACCTTGTACAGAAAAGTAGTTTCATAGCCTTGATGAAGCCGCAACTACATCCTCTTCTTTGTCATTTCCATGCAATTCCCCAGCAACACCAGTGTGGTCACCGGTGTGGAAACCACCGTCTTCCACCAGCTCTACCATCCTCTACCAGCCATCTTGTGGACCTCAAGCGAATCTACAGACTGCCGTCCCCCTGAAGTCAATCTCCACGGTGTTTGAAACTGCACACGATGCCCTGCGCCCTGTCATGGACGGAGTCGAAAGGCTTCATCGATCCGGTGTCGCAAGAGCTTGGTCTTTTTGATCATCGGCGAAGCCAGGAGCAACACGGTGGTATTGCGGGAAGCTGGATACGAACGTTGACGATTCACATGTTGATTTCCTCAGTACCATGTGTCACCAACACAGACCATCCGCAAATCGAGACTATCCCAATGCACCGGTGTTCTTCGACTATCCACAAAAACAAACACGTGACCCTTCCTCTTAACATCTTGCAATATCTTTCAACTTATCCTAAAATCTTTGGATTCATCAAGGTCCCAAGTGTCCAACTTGGTAGAAATGACTTCCACTGGGCAGAGACAGGGACCACTTCTTGAACTTCGACTGAAGAAAGGCGGCATGGCCTGGCCAATCCTGACAAGCTGCAAATCAAAACCCAATGGTAGCGTAGTTTTCACATTGAATGAAACTACATAGCAGGGATATGTATATATATATATTATATATATACAGAAAGGGACGCTGTCAGGTCCCCATTTTTCCACGTTTCTGAAAATGCAGTGTTTTTGCTACATCATGTTCGATCCTTTATGTTCATATAATGTGATGGTATTGCTAGAGATCCACACAGATTGTCAGACTTCCTCAGGTTGCCAAAGAATGTCCAGAGAGTCATGAAGATTCCTAGGGAAAAGGAAGCAGGAAAAAAAACATAGTGTGTGTAGATATATATATGGCTTCCCTTAGGGGGAGAGGTGGCCAAGGAAAAAACCGCATTTCTTTTTTTTTCGGGTTTCTCCCCTCTCCTAGCCCTCCTATGTACATAGCCTCTCCCTGATGGCAGGTTGCCAAAGGTTGCCAAAGAATGTCCAGAGAGTCATGAAGATCCCCAGAGAAAAGGAAGGAGGAAAAACACACATAGTGTGTGTATACCTTAGGGGAGAGGTGGCCAAGGAAAGGGAACCATTTTTTTTTATGAGCTTCCCCCCCTCTCCTAGCCCTCCTATATATAGCCCTTCTATATAAATTGATGGACTTGTATTTTCCTTGTAGTAGTACTACTGTATGCATCTACGATATGGATGCTACATAAGTAGCGCATGGCAATACACTTTGATCTTAGTACATACAGTTGTGGAATGGGTGGCATATAAGTCACCTATGCCCTTACAGACACAAGTTTTCTACATTTCTCCTGCATATGCAATGGTATTCTTCCAGGTTTCAATGCAGTAAAAGATTTTTGTTTAAACTATCGATTGATCGCAAGGGTTGGCAAATTCCAGGGGCACTTCCATTTCCCCCTTGCTTCAGAAAAGGCGCCTTTACCTGCATATTCCATGGTAATTTGCTGTGTCACTACAAATATAACGGCAGACATTTTATTACCATAAATGTACTCATGGCTGTGGGCAAAACTTAAACTATGTCAGTATAAGTTCATCATGGTAGCCAGAAGGGCACAAGACCAAGTAAAGGAAACACTTAAGCAACCTTACCAAACAACTGTATCTATAGAATGGCTGCCTTGCTTGTGCATTGATGCAGCAAGTTACCATGCAGTATGCCACAAAAATGCAACTACTTGAGGAGGGAGAGTAGATTGGAATTTGCACTTTCATTTGCTAAAAGAGTTCCACTGGAACTATGATGTCAACCAAAAGGCGACCTGGCAATCCAATATCAAAAACCACCAATGCAAATACAAAGTGCTATGTATATATATATATTGTCTTTGCAATAGCTGTATGCCGAGGTAGTACCTATACATGAATATATATATATATACATGAAGTACCAACTGGCACAATGAATCTCTATGTTTCAAGATGTTGTTGGGCAAAGAACTTTGCCATTCATGCACTAAGACCACCTATCAAAAAACAATAGGGCTAGAAAAAGCAAGCAACCAAGAATAGAGCTAAGGATTAACAAACCAAAAACAGTACATCTCCCAAGAACTTTGATCTTTCATATATGATCAAAAGAGGAAAAAACATAAAATAGTCAAAAAAACGCTTAAAACCACGTATTTTTTGGGACCCACTCTCTCTCTCTCTATATATCTATATAAACAATACATACACATATATATACACATATATATATATATACATATATATATGGATGTTCATCTCCCTAAAAGATGGTATCATATAGCTATGAATGCTGTGAGTCCAACACCCCAACTCTCAAAATCTCTGCAGATTGATGACACGCTTGTGCTCAGCGACTGTCTCTGGAATGATGATCACAAAGGCCAAGGATTTCTGTCCTGGTCTCAGGTCATGACAGCTTCCATTTCTTTAAAACAGAAGATGGTTTCAGGCCTTTTCAAGTCAAGAACTCCAAAGCACAAGTTGCAATCCCAAATCCCAAAATCACTATTTTTTAAAAGAACACATTCATGTAGAGTCATGGGTGGAGAATGAGAAAACCATCCCAAAAAACATAGGATATCCAACTGAAGCTACGATCTGCGACAAAGGCTCCAAGCTCAGCTTCCTCCAGGCAGCTTCGACAAAAGTTCGCAGCGCGCAACACCAAGTATTCGTCAAACGGAGGATTCACTTCGACCAAGCCTGGCCCCCTGTACTTGGGGGTGCAATAGAACTACTCAAGGATAAACCATGGTGAAATAAGCCTCTTGAGTTGGGATATCACTATCTGATATGATAACATCTGCGTCCGACTCTTTGAAAATCGGGTGGATTTCATTTCGAAATCGAATCTCGAATTAAAAATATCTGACAGCGTCACATCAAGTCACATCTAAGGAAACCACCTGAGAAGGGGGGACGAAAGCCAGCCCCTAGCCGGAATCTTTTTTGTTCTGCAAACTGTCTTGCTCCGAACCCCAACGGACGCTGCTCTCCGTTGAGCTTCGGATCTTTATTTTTTTCAAAATGCTTGCCTCTATGTTCCTAGCTTTTTCAAAGCTTTGCCTTTCCTCCATGCCATGCCTTTTTCCCGAATTCGTAGCAAGGGTTCCCGTTTCACTCTGGGGGTCTGGGGGCTGCGGGTGTGTTCGCTCGACGTTGCGGTTACGTTCGCAACATTCCAACCTGTCATACACACTCCACACTCCACACTTTACACTTTACACTGTACACTCCTCACTGCACACTCCTCATTTACACTCCACACTCCTTACTTTACACTCCACATTTTACACTCCACACTCTACACTTTCCACTCCACACTTCGAACTCTACACTCTACACTTTACACTCCACATTCCACACTTTACACTCTAACACTTTACACTCTACAATTTACACTCTACACTCCACACTCCACACTTTACACTCCACACTCCACACTTTACACTCTACACTTTACACTGTGCACTCCTCACTACACACTCCTCATTTACACTCCACACTCCTTACTTTACACTCCACATTTTACACTCCACACTCTACACTTTCCACTCCACACTTCACACTCCACACTCTACACTTTACACTCCACATTCCACACTTTACACTCTAACACTTTACACTCTACAATTTACACTCCACACTCCACACTTTACACTCCACACTCCACACCTTACACTCTACACTTTACACTTTACACTCCTCACTCCACACTACACACTCCTCATTTACACTCCACACTCCTTACTTTACACTCCACATTTTACACTCCACACTCTACACTTTCCACTCCACACTTCACAATCCACACTCTACACTTTACACTCCACATTCCACACTCTAACACTTTACACTCTACAATTTACACTCTACACTCCACACTCCACACTTTACACTCCACACTTTACACTCTACACTTTACACTTTACACTGCGCACTCCTCACTCCACACTACACACTCCTCATTTACACTCCACACTCCTTACTTTACACTCCACATTTTACACTCCACACTCTACACTTTCCACTCCACACTTCACACTCCACACTCTACACTTTACACTCCACATTCCACACTTTACACTCTAACACTTTACACTCTACAATTTACACTCCACACTCCACACCTTACACTCCACACTCCACACTTTACACTTTACACTTTACACTGTGCACTCCCCACTCCACACTACACACTCCTCATTTACACTCCACACTCCTTACTTTACACTCCACATTTTACACTCCACACTCTACACTTTCCACTCCACACTTCACACTCCACACTCTACACTTTACACTCCACATTCCACACTTTACACTCTAAGACTTTACACTCTACAATTTACACTCTACACTCCACACTCCACACTTTACACTCCACACTTTACACTCTACACTTTACACTTTACACTGTGCACTCCTCACTCCACACTACACACTCCTCATTTACACTCCACACTCCTTACTTTACACTCCACATTTTACACTCCACACTCTACACTTTCCACTCCACACTTCACACTCCACACTCTACACTTTACACTCCACATTCCACACTTTACACTCTAACACTTTAGGCTCTACAATTTACACTCTACACTCCACACTTTACACTCCACACTTTACACTCTACACTTTACACTCTACACTCCACACTTTACACTTCACACTCTACACTCTACACTCCACACTTTACACTGTACACACCTCACTCGACACTTCACACTTTACACTCCACACTTTACACTCCACACTCCGCAGTCCTCACTCCACACTTTACACTCCAACTTCACACTCCACACTCCATACTCCACACTTTCCGCCCGACACTCCGCACTCTACACTCTACACTTGACACTCTACACTCTACACTCTACACTCTGCACTTTACACTTTACACTCTGCACTTCACACTCTACACTTCACAATCTACACTCTACACTCCACACTTTACACTTTACACCGTACAGTCCTCACTCAACACTTTACACTTTACACTGTGCACTCCCCACTCCACACTTTACACTCCTCACTCCACAGTTTACACTTTAAACGCTCCACACTCCACACACACTTTACACTCCACACTCCACACTCGACACTTTACACTCTACACTGTGTGCACTGTGCACCCTACTAAACTCCACACTTTACACGTTACACTTTGCACTCCTCACCCCCCACTCCACACTTTACACTCCACACTCCACACTTTACACTCCATACTTTACACTCCTCACTCCACACTGTACACTTTACATTCCACACTTTACACTCCACACTCAACACTTTCCACTCCACTCCACACTCCGCACTCCACGCTTTACACTCTTCTCTCCACACTCCACACTCCACGCTTTGCACTCTTCTCTCCACACTCTACACTTTACACTCTACAATCCAAACTTTACACTTTACACTCCTCACACCACACTCCTCACTCCACACTTGACATTTCACACTCCACACTCTACACTTTACACTCTACACTCCGCACTTTACACTCTTCTCTCCACACTCCACACTCCACGCTTTGCACTCTTCTCTCCACACTCTACACTTTACACTCTACACTTTACACTCTACAGTCCAAACTTTACACTTTACACTCCTCACACCACACTCCTCACTCCACACTTGACACTTCACACTCCACACTCTACACTCTACACTCCGCACTTTACACTTTACACTCCTCACTTCACACTCCACACTCCTTACTTTACACCCCACACTTCACACCCTACACTCCACACTCCACACCCTACACGCTCCTCACTCCACACTCCACACTTTACACTCCACACTCTACACTTTCCACGCCACACTCCACACTCTACACTTTACACTCTACACTTTACACTCTACACTTTTCACTGTACCCTTTACACTCTACACTCCACACTTTACACTTTACACTGTGCACTCCCCACTCCACATTTTACACTCCCCACTCCCCACTCCACGCTCGACACTCTACACTCCATACTCCTCACTCCACACTCTACACTTTACACTCCACACTCCATACTTTACACTCCACACACACTTTACACTCCACACTCCACACTCCACACTCTACACTTTCCACTCCACACTCCACACTCTACACTTTACACTGCACACTCCACACTTTACACTCTACACTTTACACTCTACACTTGGCACTCTACACTCCATACTTCACACTTTACACTCCTCACTGCACACTTTACACTCCACACTCCAAACTTTACACTCCACACTCTACACTTCACACTCTACACTTTACACTCTACACTCAACACTCTACAATTTCCGCTCCACACTCCACACTCCACACTTTACACTCCACACTCTACACTTTACACTCTACACTTTACACTCTACACTCCACACCTTTCACTTTACACTGTACACCCCTCACTCCACGCTTTGTGTCCAAGATGGTGTGTGACAAAGTATTGTGTGACAAAGTTGTGTGCGAAAGATGGTGTGTGACAAAGCTGTGTGTGAAAAATGGTGGGTGGAATGTAGTGTGTCAGAAAGTGGTGTTTGAAAGATGGTGTGTCACAAAGTAGTGTGTGAAAGATGGTGTGTGACAAAGTTGTGGGTGAAAGATTGTGTGTCACTCAACACTTTACACTACACACTACACACTCCATACTCTATACTCCACACTCCGCACTCTACACTTGCCACTCCACACTCCACACTCTACACTTTACACTTGGCACTCCACATTCTACTTTACACTCTGCACTTTAGACTTTACACTCTGCACTTTACACTCTACACTTCACACTCTACACTCTACACTCCACACTTTACACTTTACACTGTGCTCTCCACACTCCACGCTCTACACTCCACACTCCTCACTCCACACTCCACGCTCTACACTTTACACACTCCACACTCCACACACATTGCACTCCACACTCCACACTCCACTTTCGACACTTTACACTCCACACGGTAAACTCTACCAGGCTCCACACTTTGCACTTTAAACTTTGCCCTCCTCACTCCTCACTCCAAACTTTACACTCCACACTCCACACTTTACGCTCAACCCTCTACACTTTACACTCTACACTTTAGACTCTACATTCCACACTTTACACTTCGCACTGCACACTCCCCACTCCACAATGTACACTTTACACTCCACACTTTACACTACACACTCTACACTTTCCACTCCACACTCCACACTCCGCACTTTACACTCCACACTCCACACTTTACACTCCAATCTCCGAACTCCACACTTTAGACTCTACACTTTACACTCTACACTCCCAACTTTACACTTTACACTCCTGACACCACACTCCTCACTCCACACTTTACACTCCACACTCCACACTTGACACTCCACACTCTACACTTTACACTCCACACTCGACACTTTACACCCCACACTGTACACTCTACTACACTTTACACTTTACACTTTGCACTCCTCACTCCACACTTTACCCTCCACACTCCACACTTTACACTCCACACTTTACACTCTACACTTTACACTCTACACTTTACACTCCACACTCCTCACTTTACACCCCCCCTCCACACCCTACACTCCACACCCTACACTCCACACCCTACACTCCACCACACTCCACCACACTCCGCCACACTCCACCACACTCCACCACACTCCACCACACTCCCCACACTCCACCACACTCCTCACTCCACAATCCTCA